AGCAAAATATATTTGTTCTCAATTACTGAAATGCAACAGATCATCTTCAACTATTCTCTTCTCTTCTCATATGTTATTGATCGATTTGAGGTCTTGGAGAGTGGCCAAATCATGAATTCGAAATGAGTTTCTTTTTCGGGCTCTAATACCATCTTTTATTAGTAGACGTCTTTTTTTTACAGTTTTTCCTTTTCATAAGCAGTGCTTCAATGGAAATTCCTTCTTTTCTTGTACGACGGCGCTGTGACCCCTGCTATCGCTTTTGTTTAGTTTAAAAACTGTTTCATGGTCTGGGCTATTTTATCATGTAAGTATTTTCTCTGGCAGCATTAATCGTACAGATTAGAATGGAATTATTGTAATAATGAGTTGTAGCAAAATTTTGATTATTCTTTATGTAATGGGAAAGAGAGAAATAATTGATGGGCATCATATTATTTTTAGAAGATTTATTTCAACGGTTACTTATATTTGGCTATTTATGATATTCGATTGAAATTGTTTCAAGATTTTTCTTTTGTAAAGACTAAATTGATTGCAGACATTGAATATTCAGTATTGACTATTATTTCAAAACTATCATATCCATCATATATTGTTTCTCTTATCCTTTTCGAATGTCATTCTAATCAATGAACATGCCATTACTTGAATTATCGTTGTTTTTATTCACTTATTTTTTACATGCTTTTTGAAGAGATTCACAGTCAAAGTCTATAATAAGAATTATTCTCATGTAGTCTAGGCTTTTTAAAACTCTTTTGCAAAATAGGATGCATTTATTTACTGAAATTACAAATCATTTCTAAGTAATTCTCTCTCGTGTTTTTTTTGATTACTTGAAATTAATCAGTAATTATTTCTCTATAAGTCGATGTCTCTCACTCTCTACAGATAGATCCATATAGAATTCATATTTGTATTAGTAAAATATTCATTCATTAATATAAATAATAATGAATGTACTGTCATGATAATATTTGTAGTATAACTAATAAAATGTTAAGACATTCAGTCGGACTCCAATATCTAATTTATACTTTATGTCATTATAGTGTAGAACTCGTAAACTTGATTTCATTTGTAAAATCTTCTTCAATTTTGAAACTATTTCATACCTAATAATACATTCACAAACTATTTGTGTTAATCCTTTGACGCCCGGCTTTTTTTAACGGAAAACCAAATTTTGATAAGAGATGTTTAAACATGATTTTTATTTATTTTTTGAAAGAAAGTATAGTTCTGTGTCGCAAACATTAGTAATTCATTTTTGTCAGATAGTCTTTATAAAAGAATCATCAATACATAGAGATACATTGCAGTCAGAATACATATATCTTGTGTCACGTCAGATATTATGGGATGTGCAAACCACGCATTTTCTTTGAAGCTGTTTTGATTGCGATGTTTGTGGAATAAGTGAAGGAAAATGTTGAGCAGATACAATATGTGAAAAATATACCAATAGTAAGGTCACATATTGTAAAGGTTAGTATTTATTTAAGCAATAAAAATACTGGAATGAGCAATAATTAACATACGATTTAGCAATAATTTGTAAGCAGTAAAAAAAAAACTTTATTGAGCAATTTTATATTATTAAATTGACAATAATTAATTCATTAAATAGCAATAATAATTTCATATTTTAGTAATAAATAAAAGAAAAACTGCATTATTTTTAGTTACAATCGAAAATTAAAAAAAAACGAAAAATATAGTATATTATTGGGTCAATAAAGCTTTTTTTGCCTAGGTGGTCTCCCTCTGTTTCTTACGTATTTCTATAAATAAATGTGTTAAATCCGTAATATGATCTCGTGTATATGATGTTCATTTTCGAAAAATAAAGTCCTCCCTGTTATCACATACATGTAGACCTGTATCTGAGATAACAGAATATACCAGGAATAGATATGATACTAATAGAATATATCTGAATGATCACTTGAAAGAAAGAAATGAACAATCGAAGAGAAAGCAATATGGGAATGGATCTGACAGTAGGGAGCTGTACCAGATTTTCTGAACTCGACCAGAGGATTTTGGGCTATTCTATTTTTTAGAATACTGAACTGTTTTTCGAATACACATCTGTGGAGCAATGTTTCCACTTTCATACAATGTGATTATAGCTGTACAAAAGACATTCAGAGTTGAACGATTTTAAATAAAAAGGTTGGATTTCATACTTGAACTCTATCAGATCCGAATGTATGGACTCAGACGTTTTTTGTTTACAAAACCTTCAGCTTTGTATGGTTGTTGTACAGTTCCAATTACATAGTCTGAAAGAGTAAATATTAATCTACAAAATTTGTATCCGAATAACCATTCACTATTCGAGATAATAGAATGATTCCTTTGGTTGGATTCAGAAAAACCAGTACAGCTAACCTGACAAAAGAGAAAGAGAATGAAAGGTGTAGATACATAAGTAGAGAAAGAAAGAGACTGAAAATATAATGTATAGTATAACACAACTCTGTCTTAAAGCATATCTTTGAAATGTAGCATAACAAAATGAATCCATAGTGCCCCTCTTTATATAAAATTTAAATTTAATTTAAGTAAATTATTGCTGATTCAGCATATTTATTGCTCATTCAATATAGTTATCGCTTATTGAATATAATTATTGCTCATTTCAATTATTTTATTGCTCAATTAAATATAAGTCTCTTGTAAATATACATGAACATACAGAACGGAAAGAAAACTGTGATGTATACTATCGATATATAGAACAACTAAAGAGAATGTATGACGAGTATAGGGACTATAGATTTCTAGCATGATGTCACGGTTCTAGTTCACGACCTAACAGATAGAAAGCTTTTCCAAATAATCAAAGAATATGCCAGTAGTATCTTTGTTCAATAATTACATTCAGACGTATTTATATATCACCGATATTCTAAGCCAAATACTAGGACGTATATATATGTTGCCGAGCATCGAAGGGTTAAAGACTACTTTCATATAGACCAATTCAGTTTTAAATATTGTTTAACGTAAAGTAAATATTTGGCTTCTGAATTTCCATACATATCAAAGTTGAAACATGAATTCAACTTTCAAATTTTATACTACTGAATGTTTCCTGTAGTACTTTCCGATCATGCAGTGTATATAATTATTTTTGAAATTGTCTTATTGTAGATATAACAACACAATAGTTCTATTTTATTTTAGTTCTATAACCCTTACATACCATTCATATAATGCAATAATTCGAAAACGATAATTACTCCGTAAATAAACAAGCAACGGGAAATGATTCATAGTCTTGAAAACCTTTGTACTTACTCACCAAAAATCAAACAAGAATTCTGATGGTCTGTGTACAGAGGAAAATTTTCCTTACTAAGTGTTTCATGCGATCTTATTGAAAGAAATTCAAGAAACAACAACAATTTGTGTTTCGTTTTCAAGATTTTAATTATATGGACAAGAACGATTTACATTTGTCGTCTTTGACTATCAAGTCGAAGTTCTAATCATCCCAAATTTTTGAATGAAAATTGAATAATATTTAAAGATCTCACTTACCTATATCTATTGAATTCCTTGAATTGCCAATTTCTGGATTGTAGGTACGTGTTCTCAGGGGTCAGATTAGATCAACACGAACGTTCAAAACATGTGACCTTAGTAAAAAAAATAAGATCGATATTGACGAAGCATAAAATTTTCCACAAGCCTTATTAAGCAGATTTTTTGACTTGTCTACCAGACACCCATTGTTATTATTCAATAAATACATTCAAGATGCTGAATCTTATATGAAACAGAATTAACGATCAGAATGTGCAGAATGTCACTGATGTGATACAAACTAAAGGCAACAAGAATGTTGTTGTTTTCAGTTTACGAACCACATGATGCGTAGTGTGCGATATATTATCATTCTTGAAAGTGTTTTTACTTTGCCATAGTCTATATCAATATCAAATATATAATCGAGATAAGAGTAGATTCTATTACCACGATACAGTTTAGACATGATTGATCGGGTCAATTCACTTATATACAGTAGTTTTTAGTAATAAACTCTTTTTTAGCCTGTAACATAAACATCGAATACAAAATTTCTTGTATGAATTTCTGCATAATCATAAAAAAACATTCTAGGCACATGTAAACGAGTTTTTACTGCAAGTGACGATATGTAGACGCAACTCATAATAGAATGCGTTTTCTGAAATAAACACATTCAAATTAGCTGTAAAATGTGTCTAGAGGTAAATAATTTCATCTTTCTCTCTGTCGCATGCGCCGTTTAATACTCTTAGCTTTCAATTAAGTCTCTGAATGCAGTTCGATTTTCCTGATTATACTACTAAGATATATCTACATGAATTGACTGAATTTTTGATTCACAATAATACATTTAATAATTTCGTTTAGTTAAATCATTCTCAGAATTGGGTGTGGGTATGAGTGTCAGTGAATGACAGAACTACTATAAACACCCATACCCACACCTAATTGAGTTTAACGTGTGACAATTCTCACATCAAAGATGCTTTCTTATACGCTCAGCGTCAGTAGTACAACCATAAAAGATGTGAACAATATTTGTTTTTGCATCCTGTTGTCCAATAGGGAATCCAGAAATTTTATGAATGAGGGCGATTTTGTCCAGAAGACGATGTTAGGACCTGACCCCTATTGTTATTCTATTGTTGTTATTGTTTGTCCACTCTTTATATACACGTCCTCCTTTTCTATTTTTCTTTTTTTTGTTGTTTTTCTCTCTCTTCATTATTAGAATAAACATTCGGTCAGATATGTGCACGTGAAACGAACTCACTGACCTTAACATCTTCTCTCTTTTACTTTTGGGTGCAATATCTTACAGTGGTGACAGCGGTGTTTGTGGAACCTCCTTCGTTAAAAGGGGTGTGCCGTTAAGTAAATTATTGATTATCAGTTATGGCTGCAAATACTCGATCGAAACAACAAGTTAAAAATGAATTAACTTCCACTTTGGAGTCTACTAACATTTTACCATTAACACAATTAGTTGAAGATTCAGATGATGATCATATAAAACCATCTAACAACATCGTTCAATATACTTTAGAAAAATGGGATGCTTATCGAGAATATGAACAACAACGATTAGAATCAATTAAATTATTAACTGAAGAAGAGATGTCGAATATTGATCAATGGTTATTAGATTTACATCAAGTATATGAAGAATTACGATACCCGATGTCACGCCGTATTTGGCAAACTATTACTTATTTACAAGATGAAGAACGAATTTGGTATGAACAAGAAAAACAAGAAATTAAGAATGATTGGCGTTATTTTTGCAAGAAGTTGAAGCAACATATTTTTGGTCGATTGAAAATTAATACTATGCCTTCGAAAGATCATCATTTATCGTCTGTTAATAACATGACACAAGTGGAACAATTTCCTTCGACTAAGTCTTTGTCCATTGAAATTAATTCATCATTATCATCAGCTCTTTCTATTACCA